TGTATATGAGGGGGCAGGGGGCAGGGTCTTACTCTGTAATTCAGGATGGGCTTGAATTCACTATGTAGCCCAGGCTGGCCTTGAACTCGCAGCAATCCTCCTGCCTCAGCCTCCCGAGTGTTGGGATGAACAGGCGTGCGCCACCCCACCTGGCTACACTCGCATTGAAATATACCTGTACGAGACCCTGTTGTATGGAAACATGCCCGTGTGGATGTACAACTGACTGGAACATACCTGTGTGGTACCTGTATAACACATTCCTGGGTCTAGAACACTGGCTTGAAAACATCCCTGTGAGATAAAGGAAATGGCTGTGGATAAAGAGCACCTGGCTAGAATTGAGCTTTTTTTTTTTTTTTTTTTTTTTTTTTTTTTTTTTTAAAAGATCACGCTGTGTAGTTCAGATTGGCCTTGAACTCACTGTGGAGCCCAGGCTGGCTGCGGCGCCCAGTGTAAAATTCAGCTCCAATGAAGGGGAGCCCTAGGATCATCTACAAGAGGAACTAACTCCACACTGGGCACGGCTGTGGGACAATAGGCAGGGCAAACGGCCCTGTGTATGGAGGCCCACCCATCAGGGGTGTAGCAGGGAGAAAACACGTGTACTGGGACCACCCTGTGGGAAAACATCTATATCCCCCACGTTGTTCGGCAGCCGAGAACATCTGCGGATAAAACAGCTGTTGGCTATCAAAGGTTTCCTTGGGACCCACCTGCTCACAAACACCTATCTGGACAAAGGCTGGGCTGGAACCAAATGAGCCCTGACGGCTGCAATTTTGGATAAAGGGTGATAGGAACATGATCCTGTCCCCAGGGCCCTTGAGTGAAGAGTGAGGAGCGAAGGGTGATTAGTATAAAGGTATAAAGTGATGGGTAAGGATCCAAGATGTGTTTAAATCCCTGCTTTAAAGCAAGCGTGGTGGCGCACGCCTGTTAACCCGGCATTGGGAAGGCTGAGGCGGGAGGATCGCTGCGAGTTCAAGGCCAGCCTGGGCTCCATAGTGAATTCAAGGCCAGCCTGAACGACATAGTGAGACCCTGTCTCAAAACAAAACAAAACAAAACCAGAGCCGGGGATTTAGCTCAGTGGCACCGCTCCTGCCGAGAAAGCGCAAGGTCCCGAGTTCCATCCTGGTACCAAAAAAAAAAAAAAAAAAAAAAAAAAAATCCTGGGAGTGAGGACTGGGAAACTTAAGGTCTCCTCAACTCTAAAGTGAGGACACCAGTACCCTCCCTACCTTATAGGGTCAGGCGAGGACAGTGCTGGAGGTAAAAGGCCTGGCAAGTGCAGCGCAGGAAGCTATGTTAGCTATTATTGTTATTATTCGTTGTCAAGTGGGCGCCCCTCCCCCAGAGGCGATTCCAGAAACTGCTCCCGAAAGTACAGGGAGGGACTTTGGCAGGTGCAGCTAGAGCGACAGCCCGAGGCCCCGCCTCCAGGGCCAGGCCACCGGCTCCGACAGCCCCCAGGCTAAGAGCAGTCAGCCCGGCGTTTGAATCCCGCCGCGGCCCCTTTAAAACTGCCTGGCTGGCTGTGAGGCGGGGGATTTGAGGCCACCCAGGGTCACCAGGGAGACCCCGCCCATGGGGGGGGCGCGGAGGGACGGGCGGGCGCAGTTCAGGCTCTGGCCAATAAGAAATCGACTGTGCAGCCGCGCCGCGAGTTAATCTTGCGTTTCTCGGCCGGAGTGAGACAGAGAAAGAAGTTGCGCGGGAGGGCCGAAGGGACCGACGCAGAGCCCCAGCTCTCGATCTTGAGTTTCTGTCACCGAGTGGAGAGTCCGACCGCGCGGACGGGCAAATGAAGGGCTTTAGTAGACTCAGGGTTCTTGCGTTAGTCTGGGAAAAGCGAGAACTTTAGTTTCTGAAGAGGATTAGTAGAAGGTCAAGTGGAAAAGGGATTATGAAAGCCAATCCCTGAAGTCTCCTTAAATCCCTCCTCCCCTTAAAGACAGGGGAGGGGAGTAAACTGAGGCAAGCAGGGGTGGAAGTCTGAAACCAGAACGAATTCGCGGAGCTTGCCATCCTGTTTCCCCGTGCTCCTCCGCCGTGCAATCCTCGAGCATCCTAGAACTTCCCTCCCCACGCCCCCGGCTCCGCCCTCGCCCCCCTTCCCAACGCGGTGGGGAGGAGGCTCAAATTCTGGCGCGGGCGGCGACGGC